CAGCAGACACATATTTCACATGTGTTTTGTACAGATTAAACAAAGCAGATTAAACCTGTCTAGGGGGTTATCTTTTTAATCTTTGGAGATAGCCAGCTGGTTCTCTCTGTACCCAGTCTTTATGCTAAGCTAACTCCTTTAAAGTGACCACAAAATTGAATAAAAAAACGAAATCTCACCTCTAGTGCTGTTTATCAATCTTATGGTTTAAGTTACAGAGTGTTGGTGATAGCAGGAAGTATGCATCTACTCATGGATGTTAGGCCCTGACTGTACAAGGTGGCATCCTCTTCCGTTAAGCAGTAAAGTTAGTTCTAGTTTTCCTGCTAATTCAGGGAAGCCCCTTTACCATGAAGAGAGTTTATATTGTGCTGTGATACAGTATAAGAGAAAATACTTCATAAACTAAACTGCTCTCAATAAAGTCTGTTGATTATCTTGAGCATAAGGTCATGATTTCTGAAAAGAGATATTGCTGTTGAGTTTTTAAAATCTATTGTTTCCTGCTATGAGCACCACAAGCCTAATGCAAAATGTAAATGTGTTGATGTCAAAATATTACATTAAAGTGAATGATGCCACACAAAATATATTTTATTTGCGTGGCAACTTCTTTTAAAACATGCTATGTTTTCTCTTTTACACATAATTCTGCTAACAATTGACCATATTACACACATAGGAACCTCCCAAGCTAACTTTAACTGCCTCTATAACCCGCTAACCACCATCCATCTGCCCTACGGTCTAACTCTCACGTCCACAGCCTCAGAGAAAGGCCCCCTGCTGCCCCCCAGAGGAGAGATGGGCTACTACAAGCTGCACACTCAGGGACCCCTACACTCATCTGGAAGTGATACTCAACAGCTGATCTCCTCGCTCACCTTCATCCCCCAAATTTCCATCCACAAGGGTGCCGTTTTGAAGTGTCAGGTGTCCTACATGGGCAAAGACAAGATCGTGGTGGAGAGGGTGTCAGAGAAGTTTACAATCCTGTGTAAGAAAACACTTTATTTTATTAATTTTGTCTCTGATTTTCAATAATGTCCACCATTTATGGATGTTTTTGGAAAACTTTGTCTTTTAGCTGCTCCAGAGGTTTCAGAAATCCAGCTTGCAGAGACACCAAATGACTCTGGTAAGTTTCTCCTTCTGCTGTTGTTCAATAGGCTGTGTGTAAAATATTCCTGGTTGTGAGAAGATACATCCCTGTAACTTCTGTCTTCCAGATGTCATCAGTATGACGGTAACCGCTTCACATTTTCATCCGGACGTCATCACCTTCCGCTGGTTCTGCCAGGGGAGTGAGCTGAGACCTGTGGCATCCCAGGCCTCGTCCTCCCCTCAACCCAACTCTGAAGGCTTCTTCTCAGCCTCCAGCCAGTGTAAACTGCCCCAGAGTGAACTGGAAAAGGGAGGCACTAAAGTGTGGGTCAGTGTCCACCACATCGCCCTGAAGCAGCCAGTCACCCGTGAGACCAGGGGTAAGAAACAGGAAAAGTAACACAATTAAACAATAAAAAAATAAAAAAATCTTACATCTCCTTTATCTCCAGGCTTTATGAAAAGGCCGTGTGTGTCTGAAATCGTCGGCTCCACGTCTTCCCCAGAGCCGACCCTTGGATGTGAGATCACAGATTTCTACCCCCCGAACGTATCAATCACCTGGCTCAAGCTCAGGGAGGGTGAGCAGGATGATAGAGAGGAGGAGGTGATAGAGGGAGGAGAGATGTGGGGCCCCGTTCAGACTCAACCGAGACTCTACAGGGCCACAGCCACTCTGAAGAGAACGGCAACAAATCAGGACAAAAAGAAGAGAGGAGGAGGGATTATTTGTAGAGTGGAGCACTGTTCCCTACAAGAACCTATTGAGAAACTCTGGAGCAATGTTGACATTGGTATGAATCATTATAGGCACTTGTAATGTCAACAACCTTCGATGTTATATGGAGAAAGAAGAAAAGAATAACACCTGCTTTTATTCTCTTTCATTCACCTACACCTATGTTTGTATTCTCTCAGTCGCTCCCGCCATTCCTTCGTCGATCTCGGTCTGTTGGAGCAGTGAAGGGGTCGGGGTGTTCTCTCTGCTGTTGAAGGGAGGTCACCCTAAGGTCAAGTTACTCTGGGCGGCGGGAGGATCCACTCTTTCACCACTGGTTTCCAACGAGACAGAGGAGATAGGAGACGACGGACAGAGGGAGATGAAAAGTGTGTGTGCCCTGGAGAGGTCCACAAGCCTGGCCATTCAGATGAACAAACAGCCTGAGAGAAGGAGGAATGGACATGCAATAAGTACGTGTCATTACTCTTTTTAAATATATAAAGAATTTATTCAGAATTCCTTTTCTCTGGTGCCATTTGCTCTACTTGCCAATGCAGTTCATCAAAAATGTGTTATACAACAATCTTATACATCAAAATGAGTTTACTCCACATAAGGGATCCCATCAATTCTGTCAAAACAGTCGTCTTTTGTGGCTTTTGAAAATATTGAGAAGCCTGGGGAAAGTATGCACGTTTTAATAGTGGGCTATTCTACAAAGTTGTGGTGTGGGGTTTAAAGATAAGGGTATTTTTTTAGAGGATCTAATGTAAAAAGCTGTCCCCGATGCATAGTCCACCCACTGTTGTTGACTTGTTACCTTACTTTTGTTGATCTTTCTGTACAAGAGTCACAATTTCTATTGAAGTGTCTGCTGGTGGTAAAGCGTTGAGTAGTTGCACTGTGTTGCAAAAAAAAGGCAGTAATAATTCAACAGAAAAGTTTAAAACATTGTGCAAGAGAGGTTTGTAGACGGAATGGATTATAAATCTCCTTTATGAGATATCAGAAGTCATACTTAAAAAAGATTGCATCATTCATTAAAGTTTCGTGATTAAGCAGTAATAGAAAATGTATAGCAATGTACTATTTCCATCGGAATGCTGGCCATTTTCGTCTATAATCTTGTGTTACTGTTTACAGAAACTAAAGCTGCCGTCACAGACCCTGACGCTGAAGGAATAGAGTACATTGATGAAAAAGTGGATGTAGAGAACAACAACATAGACAGGGACGAGGACACACAGTCAGAGGTGGATGAGGACAGTGACAAAGAAATGGAGGAAGACCCGGGAGCGCTGCACATCAACAGAGTCAGCATGAGCAAGGCTCCCAGAGAAAATGAGAGGGCACGTTTGAGAGTCAGCCTGGAGATCACACACCCTGCACTCAAGCTTCCTGTCTATCGAACCTGGACAGGTAAAACACTGCAAACAACACATTTAAATGTACATGTAGAGACTATAACATTTAACAAAAACACAAAGCAGGAAATCTAAATGAGCCAATCATGATTTTAATGTAACAGGAAGTTTGTACATGGTATTTTTTTAGATTTTAAATATTGTGTCTTCTCTCTTTTCAGAGCCCAATGAGGAAATGTCATCTTCCGCATGAAACCTCTTATAAGTGCCTCTCTATTTTATAATGCATAATATATCTAATATAGAACTTTAGTAAGGTAGTAATCAAGTGTTATGATATCCAACTGTCTGATGAGGTGGTTTTGATCAAGCATTTTTGGTTTTTATTTATTACTTTGTCTTAATCAGTCATCCATTACTTGTTTTTTGTACATCTTCATGATTTTTTTAAATGTTCATATTTTTGTACAAAGTATTTTACAAGAATAATCCATTTCTGTGGATTTAGTTTATAAATCTGCTTAGAAAAATAAAGCAATGAAGAGAAGAGATGTTTCTTTGGATTTTGTTTTTGTATGAAAAGATTCAACAGGCATACTGTAGTGCTTTCTGTTGTTGTTCAACCAATGAGACTTCTCATTTTAAAAATACACTTCTGTATTGTTTCTGTTGCACTCCGACCACAGGACTGTCACTTCACTGTGAGCAGAGGAGGTGCTGCGTGGTTGACCCGAGTATTTAGATATTGTTTAGTTTAGAACTTCCTCTTCTCGGATGATCAACTACGTTTACGATGGTTGTCGACAAGTGGAAACATACATGTCACAAAATACAAGTTTTTATTCTTGGTATATTGAATACGTGTTTGCATTTTGTGTCCTGTAAATTCTATCAGCTTCCAGAAATAGTAAAGTGTCATGTTTTTCTTTCTTCTAAATACATATGCTACATGACCAATAAAAAGCCATCTTGTTGTCATGAACATACAGTTATAGTACAAAATAAGATATCCTTGACATTCTAAAACAAAATAAAGGCCAAATAAAACTCAACAATTATGATTTATTGATTTCACAGGGAGAGATTATTAAATCAATTGAAATGTAAAGTAACTAAGAGGAGTAAGCCTTTTGCAGAAGAGTTGCAACACGTGGCAATAATCATAAATGCTTGAAGGGTGGGCAGCTTGTGAAAAACCGTTGAGCAATGCACTCCTGTGACATCATAGACCCACAATGGAAAGTTTTAAAAATGGATCAACAGACATACCTGGTCATTCTTATATCAAACATCAACCAGATCTATAAAAAGGCCTGATTAAACTATTTCCACATATATTACCCAACATCCGTAAACCAACTTTTGTATGAAATCATCTGTGAAGAGTCATGTGGTTAACAAAGTGAGTTAGTAAAGTCAAAATGAACAGCACTTTTTAAATTAAGTTAGCTAATTTAAGTTAACTTCAGCCACCATGAGCTGCTAATTAAGTAGTTGGCAGCAAAACCTAAAATAATAAAAGTTGTTTCCATTCTTATGCATTAAACCTTTTTTTTTGTTAAAGAAAATTATTTCATGTTGAAATATGTCAGACTGCTTTGGGCACATCTAAAGGCTACAGTTGTTAAATCTAAGGAATTTAATATCAAGGGATGTTAGCAAAGATTAAGATCTGTTTGTTTAGGGAAGTTGGTCCTAATTGGCTAGGCAACAGCCATAGCTTCTCATGAGTTCCTGTGTTTTTCTACCATGATTGTAACTGAGATCAACATTAACCCCTGCTGTTGGTGAGCACAGCTATATTGAAAAAATCATCCGTGTCTCACGTGCACACTTTTGTGGCTTTTATATATACAGTCTATGGGCTTGACTCATTAGAGTCTCCTTGCACATCCGTAAACTCTGCAGCATTTAGTGCAGTGGCGACTCTCAGCCGTGTTGATCACCTCTTCCTCATAATAATGATACCCCGGACGTATGTCTGTAAACGGAACTGAGCTATCAGCGGAGGAGCTCGATAGAGTCAGCTGTCGTGTTTTAGGTCAATTAAACCTCCATAGCGGTCACATCCAGAGGAAACTGAGTCAGATCTTCAGAGACTGAAACGAGGAGGAAGTTTGAAAGATGGACAACGAAGACAGTCCCATCGCCAGGGTGGAAAGGACTCTCTGGACAGTCTGGGTGAGCTGCGGCATCTTCTAAATCTCAAACGTGTGATTTGTGAATTTTAATGTCAGGAGAAGTGAAATGTGTTGGCAAAGTCTCTCTCTTCCTGTGTCCGTGAACGTCTCTCTCTCTCTACCCCTCTCTCTCTCTCTCTCTCTCTCTCTCTCTCTCTCTACCCCTCACCCCCTCTCCCTCTCTCTCTCTCTCTCTCTCTCTCTACCCCTCACCCTCTCTCTCTCTCTCCCTCTTACTAAAATTCAAACTGTATTGGCATGATCATGTATCAGAAACATGATACAACAGTAAAATATTAAACAATATTGTATAATGAAAAATCAAGGAAAGAAGCTGTATAACTAATGGGCATTATCAACCAAATCAAAATGATGATAGTGAAAATAATACCAATGTTGTATAAATAAAAGTTCACTCACACTTATTCACTTACACAATGAAAAAATAAAATAAAATTCCATCCTTCACATTATGGATGAAAAACACATACAACTAATGTAATATAAATAGTGAAGAACAAGTAGGAAGAAAGCATAATAAAAAAATCTCTCTCTCTCTCTCCTGTGTGGGGTCATACGAGGTGTTAAATGTAAACCTGAGTACTGATGTACACAACAGATCCAAATTTGGACACCCAAACATTATCACTCTAATGTGCTCTCCACAAGCTTTATTTTTTTATTTACAGGCCTGTTAATTCTTTTTATTCTTTTTCTGACACTTTCACAAAACGTGAATGGAGAGAAGAGTTCGCTACCAATTTCAGGGAATATAAGCAGCTGCAATCCCAAATGATTGCAAACTGAATTTTGTATATATATTGATTTGAATAGTTGCTTGTCACTCATATTTTTGCGTCATCAGCTGGTCTGCTGTACACTGATTTAAAAAGTCTAGGTTTGACTAGTATTTTGCATTGATGTGAAAAATATAATTTGCTGTATCAGTTATATCAAGGAGTTTTCCAGGGAAATAATTAGGAATGAATGGACCTGTAAAATAAAACATTACTTTGCTTCCCTCATTCAGCCACTAGAGGATTAGTGACGTGTAGTTTTGGTTGATAATGCCTGCACTAAACCACAGACAACATTAGCGTAAAGCAGCTGAACTACTGCAGCATTTAGTTACTAAAGAGACAGATAGAGAGGAGTTCAGTTTAGTGAGAAAAGCAAATGAGAGCTAAAGGGAAACTCACATTCATCAGTTCTCTTGAAAGATTACACCACATAATGTTTCCGAGGTGCAATGTGAGGTTGAGGTTTTTGCAGGCCGGGGGAGATCTTAACACCAAACTCAGATAACCATTTATAGACATTGCTTTGTGTATGGAGGCATTGTTATGTGGAAACAGGAAAGGGCCTTCCCTAATCGTAGCTGCAAAGCTGGAAGGAAACTAAATAGCCTTGTGTAATATTAAGATGTCCGTTAGCTAGAACTAAAGGGGTTACCCCATACCATGAAACACAGCCTTAGGCCAAATGCATAGGAAGGTATTCAAACAGGGGGGTCATATTTTGATTACAAATAACAAATGTTCATGATATGCATAATGGGGACAATATGTGTGGATTCATCAAAAGCATAAATAATCCATTAAATCTGTTTTATTGTGTCTCCTTGTTGTTCTCAGAACTATATAACTGGGGCTGTGAACAGATTCCTCAGGCCAGACCCCGCTGACATCTCCAACAACGACCCAAACTCCATCAATGAATCTGCTGTTGACAGGGAGTCCGCTCACTTTGGTCACACAGATATTGAAAAGGGGGTCGATGAGGAACAGTCTCTTCCCTCAGCCTCTCTGCTAAGCTCATCCCGACCACTTGTTGCCTGGGATCATTGCACCACAAACATCGACCTTAAGCCTGATGAAGAAAGCATGCAGTACAAAACTCAGTCCAGCAGAGGCAGCGAGAGCAATGACTCTGAAGAAGGTCAGGGCACGAGAGAGGAACAATTAGAACAAAAAGGAAATGACAATGCAAGGCTGCAGGGCACAAAAGAAGACGAACAAGAAAAAGACGAAGATCAGAAATTGCACACTCGTGGACAAGATGAGACGCCGGAGAATAGAGAGGATGTAGATGATGCAATCACCCAGTCATTAAGACATACAGGTGATTCAATGAGTGAAGACATGGAGGACAATGAAATAAAAACTGGTGATGAAGAAGAGGAGCATGGAGATGAAGACGGTGAGGTAAACTTAATCCCAATCACAGATTTCAGTCTAGATAAAATTGACATAGAGGAGGCTAAGCTACAGAGGAATGAGGCAGATAGAGAGGCAACGCCTGAGGAAGTAGAAAACAAAGATGGTGCGCCACAGCTGGCCTCTGAAAATGAGAACAAGTCTGATGAGAGAGCAAAACAAGTCTGTGAAGAGTTCTCAGACGATGACACAGATTTCAAGGAAGACCCAGGCTTCTCTTCACTTCAGGTTTGAACTCCAAAGAAACCAAATAAAGATGGCATCCTGCCTGAGAAAGAGATTAATGTCGTGGAGCAAGAGCATGCTATGGCTGATAGAAGGGAAAGTGATAAAGCTGAGGAGGAGGTGGACGAGGTGGAGGAGGAAGAAGAGGAGGAGGAGGAGGAGGTGGAGGAGGAGGAAGAAGAAGAGGAGGAAGAAGAAGAAGAGGAGGAGGAGGTGTTGGAGGAGCAAAAGAGGACATTGGATGAGGGGGATGTCAAGGAAGAAAGTGTGAGTGAGGCTACAAACAACCAGACAATAGATGAAGCATCGGAGGAGGAAGACAACATCAAAACAGATACGGAAGACCGTCAAGGAGCAGATATATTAGCTGAATATGTTACATGCAGCGAAGAAGATGAGCAGAATGATAAAACAGAGCTACAAGCAGCTGAATTCACATATAGAGAACCGGAGGATGAGGCAAAGGATACTGAAGTGCAAACCAAAACAAAAGAGACAGAAAGCCATGTGGTCGATGAAAACTCTGATGTCACAACAACACACTTTTCAGTAGATTTTGATAAAGGTCAAGTAGAGGAGGAGAGGCTCTCCAGTGAAGTAGTCCACGAGGAAAGCTACATGGAAATAGCATGTACAACCACCTCAGTTACGGTAAGACCTGAAGGCGAGACTGGAGAGGAAATGAGCGGAGAGTGTAAGGATATTCCTCTGGGGATATGTGAAGGCCAGCTTGTTGTGTCGCAGGAGCTAAACTCTCCAACACGTGAGGAAACACAAGAGGGAGTTCCTGACTACAACAATAAGCCAGATGAAAACACAACACAAAGGTTCCTGGAAGAAGGGGATTGCGAGGAAATCCTGGGGAGCCAATTACCAGAAGAGGTGGAGGGCAAAGAGTCGGAGAGCCTTCAAAACAGTGGCTCCAGCACCGGGGCTGACTACTTACTGGAGAGGGAGCGAAGGGAAGAAGGAGAAGAAAGCACGAGAGACGTTGAGAACAGCTTTGACGACAGGCTATCAGAAGATACGGAGAAACAACTTCTCGAAGCAGCGATTCAAGAGTCAGGACATTTCTTTGAAGAAGAGGAAAAGGAATTACTGTTGGTCTCAATGAAGTCGAGGATCGTACACTCAGAAAAGGAGCTTGAGTCCCACATCAGCCTAACAGACGAGAAGACAGAAGAGACACAAGATGGGACTGAAGATCTTTTGGTTGAATTTGACATAGAAAAAGGGTCATTTGATTACAAATTATCTGATCAAGTAGGCAGTGAGGCGAGAGAAGCTGTCCCAGCAGAGGAAGTGGCCTGGTCCACTGATGAAACTTTCCTCAAGTCTGAAATAGAGACAAGCTTCTTCCAGGAATCTGTAGATGCCGGAAACTCGAAGCAAAACAAAAACATGACTCCTGGTTTTTTAGATAACGTGACTGACTTTGAATTCTTAAAACAGTCAGAAGATATTGGGCATAAAATACTTGTAGAAATGCATGATGCAGGGATAGATGTGGAAGAAATGGGTTATGGAATCGAACAAGAGGCGGAAGAAGATGTAATGCAGAACAATAGTGAGTTGGAGATTTTACATCAGAAGGTAGAGGGGATTGCAGAATCTGAATTGGAGGTGAGAAATCAGCTATCAGATGAACTTAAGATAACAAAGGAAGAGATGTTGACTCAAGAGGCCGGGGAATCAAAGACAGCTGAGTCTAAACCAAAAGATATGAGTGTGTTGTCAACAGAAGAAGTGGCTGAGCATGAGACAGAATCAGAAGGATATGATGAAGAAACAGTCTGCTCAACGAGTGGACGTCAGGATGTGATCGATAGTGCTTTGTCAGAGGACACAGAAGGCATAAAACAACAAGACGAACCAGAGCCCAGACGTCAAATTGAGCCGTCCAATGAGGAACAACATGACATATCATCAGTTCAGACAGAGAATGATAAAGGGCAGCTTGTGGCGTCAAATTTAAAGGAATCTGAATTAGTGAGTGATACAGAAACGTCTTCATCAACAGTAGAGTCTGGATTTTTAGATCAGTCTCTCAGTGAAGGGGGGGAAACTCAGCTGCTGAAATCAATTAGTGCTGGGTCATTTCAGGGCATATACGACATGTTGGTTAATCTGTCAGAATCAGCAGACTTCGCTGAATTGTCAACACAACAACTTGACTCTCAGGAGATATTGATGGAGGAAACAGCTGAGATAGGGCGATCATATCTGAAAGAAGAGAAATCAATCACTGAGATAGGATTTCAGCCGGATGCAGGTGTCCCGTCACCAGACGCTGGACATCCATATCAGGAGTCCGATAAAGCACGAGAAAAATCAGATGATGATAGAGCTATATCAGGGGAGGCTGAAACGGTATCACGGACAGACATTGAGGCTGAGGTAACTGACTGGAAAGACACAAAAGAGGCAGACCCTCTATTCAAAGAGGAGAAACCAGAAAGTGAAGATGAGCCTCTTCAGAGATCTGTCTCTCCAGATGAAATTAAACATATTGAACCCGGACGATCCCGAAGTGGCTCAGAGGCTTCTTCTTCAGGGGAGGAAATAGTTATGACAGAATCTGGCTCACAAGGCGACACTGAACCACCACTTCGATGGTCAGAGGTTGAAGCTGAATCATTACCTAGGCCAAATGAAGTGGAGGTGGAGGATCAGCTGATGGCAGAGTATGCAGATCTGTTGGAGGTATTGTTGGAAAATAACATATATGACCATACAAATGTCTTATTAAGTCATGAGTAAAATCAGGCAGTATTCCTAAAATATGAAGATCTGTTAAATGAGCTGTTTGTCATTGCAGGTGGACTCCGCTGCGCTTGACTTTACTGTGCAAAGGTCAAGAATTGCTGTTAAAGACCCTCGCGTAAGGCCGCCCAAAGACCCCCGCTCCCTCCTGCAGATGCCCTCAGTGGATCCCACACCGTCTCCACGTCTGCCAGCCAAAGTACCTGCAGGAGTGCCTTTAGGAGGCATGGGCATGGGAATAAAACTGCCTGGTAGGTCACTAATGACGCATGGAAAAGCCACTACCTTGAGTCTTTGATTTGTAGTTATTTTTGTTTGTATAATCTGTCAATAATTTCACAATCTTTTTGGTTTTTTAGGGTTTGGGGCAGGGTTTCCTGTTTTGAAAAAGACACAACGGGTGGAGAGGGATGAAAATAGCCCAGACACCGTCTCTCAGGTAAACTTTCAATATCACTTTTCTTTTATGTTGAGGTTTATTTGAAAATGACCATATGGAATGTGTGTGTGTGTGTTCATTATTATTATTATTGTTATTTACTGTATTTAAATGTCACAATATCAACAGGAGCCGGAGGAGAAGAGTGACACTCCCAAACAAGATGAGGCACAACAGAAACCTAAATGGATGCCACCAAGACATCCGGGGTAAAAACTCAGATACATCTCAGATTATTGACGTTATAATATTCACAAAAGAGGCTCACTCTGGTTAGACATTTTCTGATTTCTTTATTTTGTGTGTTCCCAGATTCGGAAACCCACTGATGTCCGAGCTGAAGACCAAACTGAAAAAAACCACGAAAGAATGACATGTGGATGAATTGTAATGCTTTATATGAATGTTTGGATATAATATACAAATTGCTTTATTTTGTATATATTTATGAAACTCAATACAGTGATGAAATGTTCATCACATTCATTATGTGCCTTATTTTTTGTATGTTTTGTAATAAAGCTTATCTGAAAAAACAGTATTTTTTTTCTACAGCTCTGGGGTGCAAAGGAAAATAATAAACTTCTGAAGTCCATGATTGAAACACTGGGGGTGGATGGTGGAAAACATGAAACCAAACACAGTTTTGAATTAGCTCAGAGCCTCAAGTCATATTATATGTGCATTACATCAGAGTTGGTTCAATTCAATTATGTAAAGGTTTTATTTTCATATGCAGTAGCTACAGTGTAGTTATGGCAATGAATAGCTCAATTCCCAGTCTCCTTAAACCATGCAACATAAATATATGTATGACCTAATACAACAAAACAATAAAAATGGTGCAAAAAGAGACCGAATAGAAATAAAGTAGTGTAAGAGAATGTTGCAAGTGAAGTGACCAATATGCAAGTATTACAGGAGAATAGACAATATACATGTAAAATAGACTAAGATACGCTAAATAACTTAAAGTGTGGCTGATATTTGTATATATTGATTTGGGCACATTTTAGTCGAGTGTTGTTGAGACAGTAGATGTCAGTATTGCTGCATCACATGGAGATCATAAACGCACGAAGAAGAATCCTTCAGCTGTGATTGGTTAGAATCATCCAATGAGTGCGAAGTGTTCTGACATTTGAAGAACCGGAGTGGCGCTCCAGTCTGTTGTAAATTCATGACATTCCGATGTTTGTTCAAAAAATAGTCGTCACCAGTTGAAGAGTTTAATTTAAAAGACTCACAAATCAAGGAAAAAGGTTTGGAGACTCTTCCCAGGAACAACGCTCCCATCAGCAGTGGCTGTTGAGTTAGGTAAGTCAAAGTCGTTTCCGTCAAACTGTCGTTACTATGCTACTATTAGCTTCGCTTCGTTCGGAACCTTCTCATGCTTCAGGCATAACGTCTCTACTGTAACTTATTGACATAAAATGTACGAAACAACATGTGTCAATGGTTTATTTTAAACAACATGTTGTGTATGTAAACTGCGCTGCCTGAGACGCTTCTCTGCTGGTCGAAATTGCAATGTTATTATATCTAGCAAATTAAATGTTTTCTGGCTAACTAAAAAATACATCACAAAGTGGTGGTCAGTTGTCAGTTGGCTTTATTGAATCGTGAAAAGTGTTTTTGTTTTCATCTATATTGATGTACGCAATTACTTTTTACTAAGAAGTCTATACATTAAAAGTGGGTTTTTTCAACTTATGTTAACACCAACATATAAACAATAATAAATAATAATATTACATACATTTGGAGGCACCTTCCATAACACCCAAGGACATTTTTCAATTCATAAAATATTCTCAAAAAGGCAAAAAACATTCAAACCAGACAGAAACACAAACATGTTAAACATACAAGAGGCAGAGTAGACAGACCTAAGAAAGGGGGGCAAGGACAATACTATTTAGGGAAAAGGGCCATGCACCTTACATTGTGATCTTGTGATGTCAAATCTAAAAGGAATTCTGACCTTTAAATGTTTTCATTCACAGGCTGCATGCACAGAGAGGCTGAGAGGACACCTGAAAAAATGTCTGCTAGACAATCAGTGCGCGTCTTGGATGCATTGCTGGAAAAGGAATGCTTGCCAGAAGTTACGTTCCTTGATGATACATGTGACTCATTTCTTCATGGTGGCATGCCAGCTACTCCTGTGACCGCTGGGTCTTTGAAAAGCTGGATTACTTCTCTCCAGCCTTCCCAACTGACTTCATCCCCAAATTCAAACACCACGACTGAAATAATCCGCCCTCTGAATAAGAGCATGGATCTTAGCCAATCTGATGTAAACATTTCCAAAGTGGACAATTATACTTGCAATACTAAATGGGATGGCATGAAAAAGTTGTCCGAAATTAGATCAATTGACAGTAAAAGTGATAAAGAAAATAACAAAGGCTACTCTCCTGTACTGTCCAGACATGCTTGGACAACATCTAACGACTCTGATGACAAGATGAAAGACATCTCAGAGAGCATTTGTGCTCCTTTGGGCTGGCAGGATTACACATACTTAACACATACAAATATTACTCTTCTTGATGTTACGCGGGATTCTGAGCTATCACAAGTTGAGGACTTATCCTCCACGGACGAGACACAGGAAACACCAGTGGCTAATATGGAAAACAACCAGCCTCCCTCGGAGTTCAGCGAACAACGTGGGACAGAGCCTGACAGGTCGTATATGGTTCCAAGAGAAGAATTGTCAAGTACTAGTACAATTACTGGACATGTCACCCACACCACAATCTCCTTTAGCGAAAAATCTGATAAAAGTGTGGAGAAAAACATAACGCAAACATTTCTGGAAGTAACGCAGAATATTTCTTCAAGCAGTGTTTTTGAAAACAGTAGGCCCTCATTGGAGCCCATCGGACCAAACATGGTGAAGATTGAAACATCAGCTGAAAAAACATTTGGTACCCATCCTGCTAATGTCACACATGACTTGAGCTCCTCGAGTGACATGTCTGCTAAGTGTGCTGCATCCCAGCTCTCTACCTCTGATGGGAAATGCAACACTAGTTTAAAGAACGTCACCTCTGAGCTTCATGTTGAACCTGTGCTTGACTGTAATTCTGTGGAAGCCAATGACAAGTCACTTACCAGCCACGATGCTGAAGTGACGACCAAGGAGACACAACCAAGCCCAAAAACATCTGGGTCTGTTAACAGCATGTCTGCTAACGGCACGTTTACCTCCCTCCAGCCCTCGCAATCGAGTTCCTCTACGGATCTAAACGCCACTGCCGAAATAACCAGCCCTCAGAACAAGACTCTGGATCTCCCTCCGTCTGATGTAAACAGCTGCAAAGCGAAGAGTCAGGTTACAGTAGACGCTACTTCAGTCATTAACAACACCATCGAAGGTTCCCAGAATCAAAATTATTCCACTGTAAATGCCAGTGGTCCCGGTAACATGGTGAACGCCACTTTTCCCCGACATTCTCTTAAAACATCAAGTGCTGGTACTATTTTAGTGGAATCTGGTGCAGGAACATTTTGCCTCGAAAACAATACTTTCGATGCTAAACTTCTCCCTAAGCAGAATGGCACAATGACTTTGTCAGAATCAGGCCCACGTGACAGACACCAGGGTACTTTTGACAAGCCCTCTCTTAATGCAACCAGTAGCCCCAAAGCAAACACTTCTAATGCACAATGTCCTAAACTGGTAGAACAGAATAGGACTACAGATACAGACCCTATTGCCAAGATGGCTACCACCTCTGAGAGCAAGTTGGAAGCCTATACAGCTGTTGTGGTGAATTCTGGAGCTGATCAACGTAGAACTCAGGACCTTTCACAATCGGGTCTGCCTGTGATGGATGTTTTTTCCGACAGTTTAGCCCATCAAAGCATGGATATGGCAAGAAATGCAAACACGTTCAACTTGGATGATACCCTTGATTTCAAGGTGGAATCTTGGATCACTTCAACACCAATGCCTACAAAAGAAGAGGGTAAAATCTTAGGAGGAGTGAAAAAACTACATGAGGATGGTCCCATTAAACCGGATGGTCAAGTGTCGTCTGAGGTCCCATCGAGCCTCGTCTGTGACCGGAAAACTTTCATGAAGCTTGTAGCTGCTAAATCCCTTTTTCCTCCTTTGAAAGCTGCATCCCAGTTGTTCAAACACAAGACAGCCTCTGCGCTTCCAGGAAGGTTTGAGGCGCAGACATACGGACAGACCATGACGAGACAAAGAACCGAGGCTCTGAGAAATACTGTTGCTGCTGTTGCTGCTGCTGCTGTTGCTGCTGCTGCTGCTGCTCCTACACAGGTAGTAGAACTCGAATGGCTGTTTTCCACTATGTTTACAAAATGTTAACTGCACATTCGGTCAGATAAAAGCAATCAAATTAACTCAATTGACCGTGTTAGATTCATCTGTTAAATCCACTTTTTTCATAAACAAGACTGAACAAAAGTTAGAACTGCATGGAAGGCTAACAGTCTGTTTCTTTCTTATGTTCTTAAGATTGCAGGAATATCAAGCTCATACAAGTTACGTGCAACAACAGGTAGGTGGTGTCTATTTTATTTTTAGAATCTGGTTGGAACATAGCATTTTGTTCTTCATAAATGTTGAGGGTGAATTATTAATAGTATGGGATTATAACGGAAGGCATTAAATGTTATAACGTCATGTATTATTTGTAGACAAAGCAGTATACTTTTGTTTCATTGTGCCCCCCCCCCCCATTATTAACTTCAAGTCTAACTTCAAGCTGCAAACAGTATAATGCCCTTCAATAGAAGATGTTCTGTCTGCACCTTATTCACTATAAACACTGTCTTTCCTCTGTGTTGATGTTAGGATCCAAGCAACCCAATTCCGGCTTGCAGAGGCCGCAGTTGAGTGGAATACCGACCGGCATTCAGAGAGCTGCGACAGGTCTCAGGCCATTATTCATGAGAAACAACACATCATTTTCAAATACAAACAAACTCCGTGGACCTGCAGGTACTCGCATCCAACCATCTGACAGTCAATATGTTTTCATGTTAATTGTATTTGCATTACAGTTATTGAGGGCCTGTGTGTAATGCGGAATCCGCAATTTGACTGTCTTGTCTGACTTGGCTATTATTTTTAATTGTTACATGTTATTGTATTTGTTGTTTTTCTCCCTCTTTCTACACAAACAGCTTCTTCTCCTGGGACGAAGACTTCACAAGGAAAGAGGCAGCCATTAACCAGAGGTGAACCTTTGCCACTAGCAAAGAGGAAGAAAATGGGTAAAAACTCGGCAGAGGAATGCTGTATTGATTCAGACTAGATGGTTAATATGTGCTAAGAAGCGAACTGACAACACCTATAACCAAAACTATTAGTTGAAAAATGTGTGATGGGGTTCAAAATCTGACTTTGATCTTTTCATTTCAGATACGTCCTTCTCAAGTGGTAATACTGAAGCCTCAAAATCTTCCTGTGATACTGCAAACGGAATCAAAACCCTCAAACGGCCCACAGCCACTAAGAGAGCTTTGCCAGCCTTCCAAAGGGAAGGTAGGTTGGCAGTGGCACTGTACCATACTGTTCTGATATGTGGAGGTATTTCGTCGTACTGTTATGTGATTTGCTGCTGAAGGGTTTCACGGTCTAGTGTGTTTTAATAACCTGGACTATTTGGGAGTTACTTACCTTTTCTCTATCACATTATTTCCGAAGCTGCAGTGCTAGCCAGTACTGCTGCTGAAATCCCACCATCCTGTGCTGCCGTTAGCAGAGCCAAAGCCCTGAAACTGCCTGCGACCAGCCATAGAACGCTGTTTGCTAAACCTAAAGACCATGGTAAGTTGCGGGTGCGAAAAATGGACATAAAGATCTTATTGTTATGCCCATCTTTAGATTGTTTGAAATGAACTTCTATTCCTGTGTCAGTTAAAGCTTCGGAAGGGAATCTACTTTCTGTCACTAGCCTAAAATTCCATTAAATCTTTCTTATAATTTTAATTCAATGGTAAACATGCTGATTGGGAAAATACAGCCTTCTTCCAGCTGCAGCCTTGAGCTTTTGGCTATAATTGGTAAAAGGTTGAACTATTAGCTCCATGTTCTCTCTCATTCTGATGATGAAGTTATGCTTGTCCATTAAGGAATGAGAAAAAAAATATACATGTGCAGCTCAATAAATTAGAATATTGTGGAACATTTTAAAAATCTGTTTTTGTATTGGTCCTATATAATATTCATATTTTCTGATATACTGAATTTTGGGTTTTCATTAGCTGTAAGCCGTAATCATCAAGATTAAGACAAATATACGGTTGAAATTAGGGGTGTAACGGTATCCGTATTCGTCCCGTACCGTCACGGTTCGGCACACGCAGTCACACGACGAATACGCCTTTTTTTTTATGAGTGGGAAAAAAGTCTGTCATTCAGGGCAGTATCCACTACACTATATATAATCCAGGGGGCGGTATTGCGCCTAAAAGCTGCCAGCCGCCCTTAAACAACAAATGAAGAACAAGAAGAAACAACAACAAAACGAACAAAATACAAGAAGAAGAAAAGTTAGTATGGCGATTTCAGATAACACACAGGAGCTAGAACCCACCTGCTTCTTTTAAATCAGCTGTGTGGGAACATGTCGGGTTCCCTGTGGACTACAATAACGATGGAGTGTACGAGTGGTGGATCGGACGAGTGGTGGATCGGACGAGGACGGTGTGTCGCCGTTGTTCTACAGTGGTGCGGTATGCTAATGGTAACACACGCCAAACATGCTAAATCATATCAGAAGGCATCACCCAGATTTGCCAATCACCGGAGCCCGGCAAAAGACAGCAGCAGTTCAACAGCTGATCCCCGCTGTTTTTATAAACCAATAGACATGAGAGCCGTGAGACCAAAATAAATAACGGAAGCTTTTGGCATATGTTTTTCAACGACTTTGCGCTCTTGAAACACTTTCTTATTATTTATGATGTCATATTTTCAAGACATTCTTTTTAGTTTTACAGCTTGATGAAACCTTTTTGTTTGACATCAGCCATTATAGATAATATGGCCATCTGAGTGGTACTGTGTATGGTTTGTTTTTAACTGTTTAATACAGTTCATTATTCAAAAAAGAGGTCTTTATTTTTAAACTGAAACTTACACTACTGTTCAATCATAAATAACAACAAACCTGGAATTATGCATTTGGGACTTTTTTTTGCTTTTTCTTGCTGTACCGAACCGTGACCTCCAAACCGAGGTACGAACCGAACCGTGACTTCTGTGAACCGTTACACCCCTAGTTGAAATAGTTCACTTTGTGTGTAATGAATCTATATAATATATGGGTTTCACTTTTTTTATTGAATTACTGAAATATTAACTAACTTTTCCACGATATTCTAACTTATTGAAATGCACCTGTATGTGTTTATGATAAGATGATATCTATCAAGGAAGCAGAAGTGTTACACGGAAGTTATACATGAGGAAGTCACCATCACCTATCCAAGTCTGGTTTACAGAAAAATATAATATATATAAATATAAAGAAGATAAATAATTTGACACTGTCCTTATCCTGCTTAATGTAATGATTTCATTTGTATTACAGGCTGCGCCAACTGTGCCGTGCTTGAACAGCAACTGAAAATGCAGTCGGAAGTAATAAGGAGACTAAAAGAAGGTAAGACTTTACTATGTGGTTTTAGGTAAATACAGTTTATTGCAAATGCGGGTTTTTCTTTTTTAATTGAGAAAATATCAGTGATTATCACAATCCTTTAGGTGACGTTTTTTTCCACCGATTATAAAATAGTTGCCTAAGTATTGGCATGTTTTTTCAGAGTAGTTAATTGCTCTCATTTCCAACGTTTTTCTTTATGATTTGTAGGCTAATTTAACTCAAAAGCTTGGGTGAAACTGCAGTGTGTATTGTGTCCCATACGTCTTTAATGCAAATGTCCTTCTTTCCAAAGCTGCTGATGAAAAGTAAAGAAGAAGAAGAAGAAAGTACAGAACATAATATCAAAAATTGTTTATTAATGAATGAGCACTTGTGTTTTTTTGTTGCGTTTTTTTCAATAAAGTGCAATGTAATTTTAATACAAAATAAAAGAAGGTGTGGTGAAATGTTGCCCACTTGGTGGCACCATAACCCGGGGTCTGTCTCTCTGTATATCTGCCGGCGAACATCCCTTTACGTTGTAGCTCTAAACCTCACTTCCTTTCCTGACGCAAATGCCCGGCAAGGCTGTTGCACGTATTTAATTTGTAGCCACTTTACAGCCAAACTGGATTTTATAACCACCCAAAAGAGACAGACACAACACAGGATAACGTTCACAAGGACGTAGGTGAGTCGGTCTCAACATTTGACTACACTTTGGTGGATTATTGTTCGTGTTAGTGTTTTTAACAGCTAAACATGTGGGTAGGCCCTGTGCTCTGCAGCATTAGCTTAGCATTAACCCCGCGCCACGTTAGTTTTCACGTTGTTTTAGTATATATAAATCAACGTTAGCTTTATAATAAATGTTCTATGGTATGTATTTATATTCCATTAGTTGTAAAATAACTATGTGTAAGGCATGTAGGTGCAATTCACGTTTGTTGTTTAGTTTGATAGGCTAATGCAACACAGCTGTCAAAGCTAGGTAGCTTAGCAAAGGTTGTCGTTGCATAGCACGTTATAGATTTCCGGTTTCTGACGTTATGAGATAAGATGGCTTTAAAATGATCCCATAGGGAAATGTAGGTGATTAAGCAGCAACAAAGTAATATCGAAATACAGGCCAGTGTATATGAGTTCACACAAGCATAACATTTACAAGTAACTGTTAGAAACAAGATATCATATCACAACAAGGTAAAACGTTGATCAGTTGAATGAACATGTATACATATCTTCATTTATACTTTAAGTGAACTGTCGTCTCACATCGAAGCAACTACAGCTAGCTCGTTAGCTTCTTAATGACGAATAATAGCTAGCTTGACAAAACTCCCTTCACATTGTTATTCAATGTCACACCAGCAACAAACTGAATTGATTGATTCTTATTCACCTTTTTGTTAAACGTCTGAGCAACATTATTTTCTCTGATGCAAGAGTATCTTTTTAAAATGAAAACATATTTGGACCTGCCTTCACCTGGAATCTCCTTCAAATTGAGCGACACCAATTGATTCAATTATTAGAAGGAATGTAATACTAGGAAGCTAAACTATTTTACTACAACATGTTATGTAGCACAGCTGTATTGTCTTTTATACTGTTCCTCACATGATGTATTTTTCTCCTCACAGATTGACATCTCTCTTCAGCCATGTCCCGTTTCTTTGCCACCGGGTCTGACAGTGAGTCAGAGGAGTCTTCATCTGCTGATGAAATCATCTCTAAAGCACCCGGAGGAAATTTCAAGCAGTCAGTATTGCTTACTATAAATCCTATCATCAGGACCCTAATGCAACTTTTTCTAGTAATCTCACACAGCGTTATTGTTTTCACAGGTCCTTGCTTATCAGTGATGATGAGGAGGACACCAAGAGAATTGTGCGCAGCGCCAAAGACAAAAGGTTTGTGTGGTCACTCTTTAAGAGCCCTATGTAATAAACTGCAGATTTCCTTATCGACTATTATTCTAAATAAAACAATTATTTTATATTAGGTTTGAGGAGTTGACCAACCTCATCAAAACGATCCGAAATGCGATGAAGATTCGTGACATGTCCAAATGTCTGGAGGATTTTGAGCAGTTATGTCGAGCCTTCCTCAAAAGCAAGACTATAGTGGACAAAGAGGGGGTTCCCCCTTTTTATATCCGTCTTCTGGCCGACCTGGAGGACTATGTGAATCAGGTCAATAGCTCCCATCACAAGTCTACAATTACCAACTGTCATTTAACAACGTGTTTTGATATGCCTGCAGCAAACAAAATATATTAACTGAGTTGACATGATCGATCTACCAGTCCGATATAATAAATGTTGTTTTTTTTCCAGCTTTGGGAAGACAAAGAGGGCAAGAAGAAGATGAACAAAAACAACGCAAAGGCCCTCAGTACACTGCGTCAGAAGATCCGCAAGTACAACAGAGACTACGAAACAGAAGTAGCTGCATACAAGGAGGTACATTTAAGAAACTTATTCTAAGTCATGCTGTGGGAGTTTAAAATGTAAAATGAATCTGTGCGAGTTATCGTAAGAGAGGAGCGTTGGCTTTTCTGAATTACAATTCTATAGGTGCTATGTCAGACTGCAGCTCTGCCCAGCAGCTTCCATGTGTGTCACTGTGCAGCCTGGATAAGCAAAGGTCAAAAACAACATCTCAATGTCTTCTTTCTCCCTATTAGAACCCACAGGAGTCCGCTGATGAAGAGGAGGAGAAGGAGGCAGCAGATTCTGGTAAGCTTCCTGTTTAAGCAAATTAAATATATCAGTGATGCAAATTAGTCGCTTTTCGGCGCCTCCCGCTTTTTTAACGCTGATTTGGGCGACTTGTGTAATTCGTGGAGAACCGAAGAGTTTTCGATTTGGGGGGGGGGGGGGGGGTTTCAGTTAAAAAAAGAAGAATAAATCTAGATCGCAAAATAATTAAACAAGCGAGTGCCTGGTTTTCCTGGTTCCTTGACCACAACACGAGCGTCTGAAAGGAGTGCTGATGGAGAGCACCGGAACGCCGCTCCAGCTCTTCAAATATTGCAGTACCCATAAGGAGCCGTACACATGCCACAGTGTTTACGTGGCTGTGTCTTTAGTTGTAAGCACAGTGGCGATCTGTAGTTATTAGCATCTGGTTAGCTAGCTATGCTAACGAATTTAAAGAGCTTTTCTACAACCAGGTGGAATAGAGCTCTCTCCTGAGAGGCTCAAATAACCTCAGCTCAGTGAGGTTAAGGCACACCTTGATATGATAAATATAGTTATTAATGAGACTAAATGAAAAACAGGTATAAAATACTATATGACAGTAACAAAAAAGTTGTTAAAAATAACAAGAATAGAGTTTAAAAGGGGAGTGATTTGTAAAATATCCAAAAAGAAGAATCTGCTTACAGTTCTGTTTTCATATGGGTGTTGAAAGATGTTTCCATAGATCTCCTAATGTTGCTCTCAAAGTGCACCAGATTGATGCTTTTAACTTCAATATAAAAAAAATAAAAAATCTTCCCGGGGGACCATGCCCCCGGACCCCCCTAGAGGAGGTTAGGTCCCCCCCCCACTTAAATCATGTCCACATGGATAGGAAACTAAATACATTTGCACACATCTTGTGTCCATATCTTTCTGTTTTGGCGGTCATGCCACAACCGTGCACATGCATGCATGCGCGAGTCATGGTGAGATATCTGGATTAAGAGGTTGCTTTTTCTGTGCACAGCATGAAAGAAAGGTGAAATGAATGGGCTGTGATTTTAGTTTTTTTAAGCAGAGGTTGAGTTCAATCATTTGTACGGCCCTCTCTGAGGATGTTGTAAAAATTGAAAGGAAAAAGGTCCCCACCCCTGCTGTAAATAATAATAAAAACCCTTGATTTATAACTTAACATCTCTGTCTCCTATTGATCTGAGTATATTATAAAGATTAGCAGTTAATTGAAGCATTATAGCACAGGCCTTTGTCAGATGGTATATTATGCTGTTTTTTTTCTGCTTCAAATAGTTCTCTCTTTTTTCACCATACCTGTGTTTGCATCACTGATATATACAAATCACAAGTTAACTAAAGTTGTCAGGGCAAACTGCATTTAGTTGTATTACCTCTGCAAGCATCATCTCTCAAAAACCTCGTTCATTTTCTAGAAGGCTCATCTTCTGATAGCGAGGAAGAGGGCGAGGAAGAGGTAATGTCGGCCAAGGACTTCTTAAAGAAAAAACCTGAGGTGATCCAAGATGCCAGCGCGTTCCTCAAGAAGGGATCCGGGGTAAGAGGCCATCATGAGAATGTACAACAAAGAAAGATAAACCTGGTGTAAAACACACAGTTCTAATGTTAATATGCTGTGTTTCTCTCTCAACAGGATGAGTCCTCGTCTAGCAGTGATGACGAAGATGGGGAAGACTGGGGATCAGACACTGTCGACAGTGGCAGTGAGAGCTCGGATGATGGGGAGGGAAAGCATGCTTCCATCGCTGCAGTCTTCCTCAAGAAGTGAGTCTACCTAGCTTTGGTTTTTATGTTTCCAACACATTTAGAAAATATAACCCAAACTGGACACGCATGCCACTACTTTCCCTCTCAAGATACCATAGGCACTTTCACACCGGAGTACTTTTCCCTGTATAGTTCCGAAAATGTGCGTTCACACCAAAAAAATCTGGAACTAGAACTTAGTTCATTAGAACCTTTTCAGTCCCTGCTAGAGAGCAGGTACTTTCATGGGAGAAACGGTTCCCATTTCTGATTGGCTGGGCGGATTGCACACCACGCCCCATAAAACTCCCAACATTTTTATTTTATTTTTCTTGCATTAGCATTATTAGCATTAGCATTATTAGCATTCGACCAGCGCACAAACGCAGAGAGACTAACTTATGGCAACACAAAAGAAAACATGGGAGCGGTGGAGATGAGGAGGTGTCAGCGTTTCTGGCGATTTACTCGAAGTCTTCAATAGAAGCTGCTGGGAGTCCCAGCAGGACTTCGGGTGGCAGTATACGCCGTATAGAAGAGGTAGCGTCTTCATTTGCCTAATCCTCCCTCAGGGACTTATTACGGTGTGAACGCGATCTGCTCTTTAGTTTATCAGAGCTAATTATTATTATTTTAAGACAATAAAATAGCGGTATGCAACGTGTGTGGTGAAGCAGAAATCCTGCAGCTCCACCCGCTGTGGCGGACCGGTGAGCGGAGCAAAACACTCACCAAGAGTTAGACCTAACACACTTTAATCTACCTCTGGAACAAGCTAAACTAGTTATTATAAATATATTTATTCTTCACTGTCGGGTCACTCATTACTGGATCAGTGAGCTGCATGAGATACTGACAGGCTGTCAGGGGAGAGAGGAACAGAGAGCGCTTCCGCTCATTTCTCCCGTGTTAATGTAAACTTGAATAATGTACTTCATTTGAATGTAATAATTATGTTTGTGGAAGCGCATCATGTAGGCCTATTGAAAAATGTATCCGAACTTTTCGATCCATTACGATTTATAAACTGAAGCAATATAAAATGGAAGATCCCCATAGGCCCCGCCCACTCGATCGGATTGGCGATCGGTAGCGGCCGATACTGATTCCGGCGATCGGCCCCAAAATACTCGATGGGAGCATCCACCTCACCACCACATCTTTCTGTCCTCAGGGAAGATAAGCCCGGCGACAAGAAGCTCGGCAAGAAGAAGAAGATCAAGAAGAAGGAGCGCATAGAGGAGGAGGCTGAGGAGGAGGGAGGAGAAGCCTGGCAGGAAGTGAAGGGAGGCATGGTCATGGTAAAGAAGAGGTCTTTTCAGATTTACTGCTTTCATAAACGCATTGTTTCAATATTTATGTTGTGTGTTTTTTTCCAATCTGCCAGGAAAAGCCCAAGATGTTTGCCAAAGGCACGGAGATCAACGTTCCTGTGGTGGTGAAGAAGCTGAATGAGATCCTGCAAGCAAGAGGCAAAAAGGGCACGGACAGGTCAGTGCATATTACCATTCATGCATGTACAATCATTTCCAATGAACAAGTTGCACATTGATATATTTTATAGCAAAGCAACTGACAAGTAGGAACCACGTATTAACCCCTTAATATCTGTAATGTATTTGAATGCAAGTATAGTCAATTGCAAGAAATGAATAGGCACTTAAAATCACTGCAGAAAATACATATAAAAACACACATTTTGTAATTCTACCTATTTCTCTTACTTAATCTCCGCTCCCTTTTTTTCTCTCCTCCTGACAGGGCTGCCCAGATCGAACTGCTCCATGCTCTGGCAAACATCGCTGCTGAGAATAATTTGGGCGAAGGTATTACGGTCAAGATTAAGTTCAACATCATTGCCTCCCTGTACGACTACAACCCCAACCTGGCTGCTTTCATGAAGGTAGAAGTTCTTTTTTTTTTTTACTTAATGTACAAATTGTTGTGTTAGTGTTTAGCTGAAAAAGTTAAAATAATGAATTAAAAGGTTTTGAACAAATCAATATGCCCGTTTATATATTAACACTATATATATTACACTAGCACCATCGACATTTCCTTTATAGTATTAAGTGTAATAAATGTTAAGATAAATCAACAGAAACATCTTGTTTTGAATGAAGTGAAATGTGGCCAACTGTTACAAATTGCATCATTATGTGTTTCTCTTCAGCCTGATATGTGGAAGAAGTGCTTGGAATGTATCGATGAGCTGCTGGACATCCTGTTTGAACACAACGACATCTTCATCGGAGAGAACATCGCCGAGGACAGCGAGAGTCTGATCATCTCAGACCAGGTAGCCCATCTTCTGTTTCTCTCATTTCTGATATATGTGGTTTATTGTATTGGGCTTTTCTGCATTATTTTAACAACGCATAATCCTTGTGGTTGTGTGTGGTACTACAGAAAGGGTGGCATTGCAATACAAATAAATATGTATTACTTTGTTGTGTTTGTCAGCCATTCAGGGTGCGTGGGTGCATCTTAACGCTGGTAGAGAGGATGGATGAAGAGTTCACCAAGATCATGCAGAACACTGATCCCCATTCACAAGGTGAGCTATGCCTGAATCGAACACTATCATTTTAGTTGTGAATGTAACTCCTAGACTTTTTGAATTTGAATTAAAGCTTTTCCTAGTAGCTCATTGCTCTCTTCCTCACTCTTCCCCCAGAGTATGTGGACAATCTGAAGGATGAGGGTCACGTCTGTGGCATCATCGACCGGCTGCTCAACTACATGGAGACCAAGGGCAGCACGGAGGAGATCTGCCGCATCTACCTGCGCAGAATCATGCACACCTACTACAAGTTCGACTACAAGGCTCACCGCCGCGCCCTGGGCCTGCCGGTCGAGACCAAGGTGAGAGACACTTAAATATACTGAGAAAAGGGAAGCTAGTTTATTTTTTTGACAGACATCAGCATCAGTGTTTCCCCTACCATTGTCTTGGCGGGGCGCTGCGCATGTTTCAGTGTCCACTGCTTTGCGTATTCACATTCTCACTCCGCTCTGTTTCTGAAGGGTGGGGCTCCATTCTGCTCCCCCCCCCCCACCCCACACACACAATCAGAGACAAGAGCGGAGGAAAGGAGGAGAACAACAAAGTGTAAAAAAGGCAAACAAATCTGCATTATTGCCCCGAGCTCTGCTGTCTGCCCGTTTGTGTCTAACCCCCAGTTTCAAATTCGTTTATTATTATGTTTTAACCTCAAGCCGTTATCGTCACGGGAGAAGGACACACACAGCCTGTCCAGGTGGACGCGCGCGAACGCGACAACGAACGTAGCAACGAACGTAGCGTGCGCATTCTAAAAATAGCTCACAGATGGTGAGCAGGTACCGCGGTTTTGAACTACAGTTTTGAATTTGACAGAAAACAACAATGAAACGCCAACAGAAGAATAGTCTAATGAGTTGGGTGAAAAAAAAGAAAGGAGATGTGAGTTGGTGTATTCAGTAAATTAGCTCAGGATAATTAGATGTTCTGTCTACACCTGTTGATGTGAGGCTAATGCAGGATTTGCTAGCTTGATGCTACCGGCATTTAGCGGCAGTGACTCAACAAATTGCCACTTAAAATGTATCGTCAGCAATGTATGACAAGCAGACTGCTTGTTTAATGTTAGGATCATATTGAGCTATTGGTGTGAGTCTAACACGATTGCTTTCATATCAGAGATCAGATGAGGTGGAGCTGCCTCCAGCAGTAGAGGATGAGGCAGAGAGAAGCAGCAGCAGCACAGGGTTGCAGCAGGTATGTTATATGCTGTAGTCAGGTGATTTAAATGTATCAATGAAAGGAAGAAGTGTAGGCTACATGATAAGAAGGGAATACAGTTTGAATAAAAGTAATACAGTACAGTGTAACACTGTACTTTATTACTTTTGAATGTACAAATACTTTGTTACTGTATGATATCAATAACAATAATCCACAGCTCCTCTCTCTGCTCCAGAATAACAATTGGGGGGGTACCAGAGCAGCACCCTGCCAAGGCAGTAAACCTAGGGGAAACACTGAGCATATCTTTTTATTTAAAAGAGGGAAATTAAAAAAACTACCTTTTTTTTTTATTTAAAGAGAAACCGTTCTAATTTAGTTTTTAAACGTTCTTTCTTATTAGCACTGACTGCTATGCCTTGACTATACATTCTTATCAAGTAAAAGCTAACGGATAATTCGTTTTTTGACTGAGTCGTTTTCCCTGTCTCGATTGCCGGCATGGTGTCAAGTGTGATGTAACTGCCATATTGTTTGGAAATGTATCACGCTCAAGCTAAATAAAAGAAATCTTTATAATGTCATACAACTGGGGAAAAAACGTTTAACGCAGAAGAGTATTTTCCCACCTGCAAAAAGCTGAGTACCTTTTTTCAAAACGCAGCCGTCTCTAATGTACCGATGTCTGAGCTGAGTTGTGTTTCTGCGCCTCAGTCGGAGCAGGACCAGGAGGAGAGCGAGGGCGAGGACAGCGCTGTGATCATGGACCGTCTCTGCAAGTTCATCTACGCCAAGGATCGCACCGACCGCATCCGTACCTGCGCCATCCTCTGCCACATCTACCACCACGCGCTGCACTCCCGCTGGTACCAGGCCCGCGACCTGATGCTGATGAGCCACCTGCAGGACAACATCCAGCACGCCGACCCCCCCGTACAGGTGAGCAGGCTGTCTTTTATTTAGGGTTCATAGCTGCTCTCTTGTGTAGCTTTGTCTCTAAAAACCTCTCTCCCCCTCTTGTGTAGCTTTGTCTCTAAAAACCTCTCTCCCTCTCTTGTGTAGCTTTGTCTCTAAAAACCTCTCTCCCTCTCTTGTGTAGCTTTGTCTCTAAAAACCTCTCTCCCTCTCTTGTGTAGCTTTGTCTCTAAAAACCTCTCTCCCCTCTTGTGTAGCTTTGTCTCTAAAACCTCTCTCCCTCTCTTGTGTAGCTTTGTCTCTAAAAACCTCTCTCCCTCTCTTGTGTAGCTTTGTCTCTAAAACCTCTCTCCCTCTCTTGTGTAGCTTTGTCTCTAAAAACCTCTCTCCCCCTCTTGTGTAGCTTTGTCTCTAAAAACCTCTCTCCCTCTCTTGTGTAGCTTTGTCTCTAAAAACCTCTCTCCCTCTCTTGTGTAGCTTTGTCTCTAAAAACCTCTCTCCCTCTCTTGTGTAGCTTTGTCTCTAAAAACCTCTCTCCCCCTCTTGTGTAGCTTTGTCTCTAAAACCTCTCTCCCTCTCTTGTGTAGCTTTGTCTCTAAAAACCTCTCTCCCTCTCTTGTGTAGCTTTGTCTCTAAAAACCTCTCTCCCCCTCTTGTGTAGCTTTGTCTCTAAAAACCTCTCTCCCTCTCTTGTGTAGCTTTGTCTCTAAAAACCTCTCTCCTTCTCTTGTGTAGCTTTGTCTCTAAAAACCTCTCTCCCTCTCTTGTGTAGCTTTGTCTCTAAAAACCTCTCTCCCCCTCTTGTGTAGCTTTGTCTCTAAAAACCTCTCTCCCTCTCTTGTGTAGCTTTGTCTCTAAAAACCTCTCTCCCTCTCTTGTGTAGATCCTGTACAACAGAACCATGGTGCAGCTTGGCATCTGCGCCTTTAGGCAGGGCATGATTAAAGACGCCCACAATGCCCTGCTGGACATCCAGTCCTCTGGCCGCGCCAAGGAGCTGCTGGGTCAGGGTCTGCTGATGAGGAACATGCAGGAGAGGAACGCAGAGCAGGAGAAGATCGAGAAGAGAAGACAAGTAAGTCCTATGATTGAGATCATGTTGGTTTTCCTTGTTGTAAACCTGCTTGGTGTACTCTAGGCTGATGAATGAATGAAGGTTACGGTATACATCGAATACAATGGGTATGAACTCATTCTGTCAACTTTATTTTTCCTAAATATACATTTATAGTAGCAATTTTAGATGTGATTATATAGGTTTCAAATGTGCAGGCATTTAAGTTTAGTTGTTGTTAGTTAAATAGTAGTTAAGACTTCGATTTTAATTTTTTCGAAACTGTACAAACCTTGAATCTTCCAACTTTTGGACGAATTTCCAAGAAATCTTCCTAGAAGGTATGGCCTACCGACGATGGATTCAGTAATGCTGACATTATCATAACATTTGCTTTGATCTCCCTTGCAGGTGCCGTTCCACATGCACATCAACCTGGAGCTGCTGGAGTGTGTGTACCTGGTGTCCGCCATGCTGCTGGAGATCCCCTACATGGCCGCCCACGAGTTCGATGCCCGCCGCAGGATGATCAGCAAGCAGTTCCATCACCAGCTGAGAGTGGGAGAGAGACAGCCTCTTCTGGGTGTGTAACATGTCCTCTAGCATCTCTTTACACCAGGTTGTTTAACTCAAAGGGAAACGGAGTCTAACTGTAGCTCTGTTTGTCCCGCAGGACCCCCCGAGAGCATGAGGGAGCATGTGGTGGCCGCCAGTAAGGCCATGAAGATGGGAGACTGGCGCACCTGCCACTCCTTCATCATCAACGAGAAGATGAACAGCAAGGTGTGGGACCTGTTCCCTGAGACGCAGCGAGTGCGCGAGATGCTCGTCAGGTTAGCATACACCTCTCATCCATCAGTTAGGGTTTGTTACAAGCTTAATGGTTTTAGGGAATTCAATCTAAACTTGCTTTTATCAGAATACCTTTATTAGTCCCACGGAGGGGACATTTGTATAATTACAGCAGGAAAAAGAGCCACAGACAGCTTAAGGCGAGACACGGCAGGCAAAAACATCGTTTTTCAAGTACTGTTCAATTTTTAGATTTTGTGCTGTTTTGATTCTTTAACCTGTTAAGCCCGAAGGTCCCCGCCGGCGGGGACCCTGGGTCTTTTTTTCACGATACTGTGTCTCAGGGGATCTTAATATTTAAGAACCTATTAATGTGTTATACCAGATTAACGGAAATAATCTCAGCTAACTGCCGATACAAACCATGTTTACCAAAACAAAACACAAGTCTCACAAGAAGCATCCAAATTACCCCTGAGCGAAAAATGCTAACGGACATTGGCACAGAACTCAAGATAAAAGTACCCTTATTACTTATCATAGCTGCACATACAATATATCCGATTAAAGCTGAGACTCCATAGATTATGTAGGTATATAGTATCATCACTGAGTGATCTGGACTCGCGACAGGGGAAGCAAATACAGTCATCACAACACGTACCTTTACGAAGCTTCTAGGGAGATCGTCTCACAAGTAGCTGTCAATCTGATCAAAGTACGTGTTCAATGGCATTAAAATTAGAAAAAACGCGGCTGAATCTGTTAATCCATAGGTTCTTAACGTCCATGTATAAAAAACTGATTGAATTTATAATCCATAATTCCATTTGTATGTAAAAATCGGAGAGTAAATGCTAGCTGCTAATGGTAGCCACCACAGCTAGCTGCTGCTTCCGGTCTCGGCGATGCAGCAGTCTCACACATACACATGACCAAATAAGGACTATGTGGGAGTTCCCCTCGATTCCATTGGCTCTGACTGTCAGAAAGAGATGTCACATGTCAAAATCGAGCAAGGGGGGCCAGAGATATGGAAAATCCACCCAAATGGCCCCAGAAGAGGTTTTTTTTTTGCTAAATCTGTCTAAAAAGGTCAAATATCACTTGTTTTGCATCAATCTTGATATAGGGTACTTATTATATGTTGTACTTTGGATTCCTAAAGCTTTTAGTCTACTAACCCATCATCCAAGGTTAGTTTTCACTATAAGTACAAAATATTTTTTGGACGGACACTATAATTTACAGTTTTTTACCATGTTCAATCTGAATTTTCTTTAAAATAAAAAACATCTATATTGAATCTGACTTTTCTACATCCAACTCACAGGTTTATCATTACTTTGAGAAAAAAGATTATTAATTTAACCCTTTTAGAAGGGAAGATATGGTCATTTGTTCTGGGAATGTCATTTTCGAGCCTGAAACCTGTAAAACAGGCTCAACAGGTTAACATGTTTTCTTTCAGGCTTTTGGAAGGAAAACGTACAAAATACACATTTAAGTGTTTATTTTACTATAGTTAGTCTATTTGCGTCTGTAGATTTCTCCTAAATTCACCAAAAGTTAGCATTCTAACGTAACATAAAGTACCGCGACCGCTGTGTGCACCATGTCAACAGAGGTATCGCTGGAAAGCTGTGTCTCTCCTGCACAATCTCATCGGATCCAAATATGGTCATTTCTTTTGTATCAGCAACCAATTGTGAAAGCCCAAAGGGGTCTTAAACCAAGAAACAAAATCTCATTGGCTGGTGTCAATTTCTGACAACGTGATTCGTTCAGATGCGTCACATGACTACAAAATGAAACAAGAATTTTGAACCTGGCTTTATCCAAAGTTCAGATTTCGATTCCTGAAATGTGTTAAAATATGTGCATATGTGAGATAATGGGTAATTTGCATATTTAAACATGCTATTTCAGAAAACTTGTAATACAAAAAACAGTACTGTGGAGTACTTCGTGACCACAGAGTGTGAACGTTGTGGTCACGTGGTTTAGCGCAGTTCTCCAGTGAAGGGGGGGGGGGGGGGGTCTCCCTCCGCAGCCGGTTGGCGTAGTTTTGGCACAATTCCGTTGTACAGACCGACGTTAACAGCAGCCCTGTCTGTGCACACGGAGACCGACTCTGTCGTCCGGTGATCTAACCGCCTTCTGGAAAAGCTTCACAAGTACGTCGGTACGCAAATGCGCTTTGTGACACAAGTGAGGGTACGCATTTCAGAGAGATTACGCACATAACCTGCGTACCAGTTATGTGCACCCCTGTACTACAGCAAAAGTATTCTCCGTCGGGACTTCCTGCAACAACACCACGCCGTTATCAAAGATGTTCTATTGAGAAGACGATCACTACGTGACAAAAGTTTTCAAAACCGTGGCTACTGAAATCAATCTTACTAACTGCTGTCTGTGCAATTTACTCCGCGAGTTGGCAGACTTTATTTTGCTTACTTTAACATCATTTTTCATGGTGGGGCTAAGCCATTTCTTGGTATGGGTGTAGCCTACCCCAGCCATACCCTGGCGCTGCCACTGGTGGCACGTATGAGGCGGGCCATTCTGCACATGCGTTAAATATTTTAACGCAATTCATTCAAAAAATTAATTACTGCACCTGCGCACCAGTTATGTGCAGCCCTGCATATAGCACATATTGCACATTATATTAATTCATACAACAGTGATCATTCAGATTATTATTTCAGATCATCCCATGATGATTTAATCTGGCACTTGCATTATATTTGTAGGTATAAAGTCATTGTGCTTTCCTTGTTGAAGTGAATGTATTATGAATTTCCCTATTGCCTTTATTTTTATAGGAAGATCCAAGAAGAGTCCCTGAGGACTTATCTGTTCACGTACAGCAGTGTGTACGACTCCATCAGGTAAGAACAAGATGAGCACCAGTCACTAGCGAAGCACTGTTAGTGTTACACTGTGTTCTCTGAGATAAGGCGTCAGTTTGTATTTCTATATCTATTCAGATGTTGTACTGCCTACTCACGCAAACTTAAAACATCTAAAATGGCTCAATTTTCTGATATCAAAATGTCCATCTGTCCTTTAGCATGGGAACACTTTCTGAGATGTTTGAGTTGGAGATCCCAACAGTTCACAGCATCATCAGCAAGATGATCATCAACGAGGAGCTGATGGTACGTTTCTGACTTCTCTACTTCATTTCCTTTTCATCTTTGCATGTACAATTATTTTCTCAATGTTGTTCTCTAAACCTATTGTGTCCTCTTGTTCAAAAGGCGTCCCTGGACCAGCCTACTCAGACGGTGGTGATGCACCGCACAGAGCCCACCTCCCTGCAGAACATGGCCCTGCAGCTGGCTGAGAAACTGGGCAGCCTGGTGGAGAACAACGAGCGCGTCTTCGACCTCAAGCAGGGCATCTATGGAGGCTACTTCAACAGAGGTGAGTGGGACAACATGCTTGATTATATGCATTATATTTCATATTGTGTTTAAGTGCTTTCTTGAGAAAAAATAATTACTGTTTTTTTTCCTTTGCATTACAGATCAGAAAGGTGGCTACCAACAGAACAAATCTTACAACAGAGGTAAGTGAAGCCACACTTTCCTCTGAGTGTGTTGTTTACTCCTTACTGCTTTTAACTAAGGTGCTGTCTGAGTTTCTCTGAATGTAATCAGTAACTAACAGTCGCTCTGAGCGGCTGCCGGGGGAGGCGGAGTGAAGAGACGGCTGTCATAGTGAGGGGGAGATGTGGTGTTTGAAAAATGTTCTGTAAGGCAGGGGTTCCCAACCTTTATTGTGCCAAGGACCGGCAGATATATAAAAAAAAAAATTGTTGTCAATTTGAACTGATTTTAATATTTACTCACCACCAGCAGGTAGCAACAGAGGCTAATTGTATGTAACAGCCTGAACAAATACTAGAACAATATGCATCCAAAACATATTAACAACGTTTTTTTTTAACGGTGTCGTTTTTTGGTTTTTCGGAAAACCAAAAAGAAAGATTAACTCGGCTCCTGGATGAAATAATATGACTGGTATAGGTGCAAAAATTAAACACTTTTTGTAAAAAGTATTATGATAAAATATTTTTATATATTTATAATTCTGCAAATATTACGATAAACTCACAGCTAATTCGCGGCCCGGCAGTAACACCGGACCGGGGGTTGGGAACCCCTGCTGTAAGGCATTCCTAGTTATTTCAATCGCTGTTTCTTTTCTTTTTTAAGAATAGGATATGTGCTCTGTTAGCTGCACATAAAGTTAGATCTCCAAAAAAAAATTTCAAGCAATTTACCTCCAGACCGCCACATACCCTCTCTCCTCAATGATAATTGAAAAAAGAAGCCTGAGCTCCGTTCTATGGGCATGATTTTAAATCCATTTGTATAACCTTGTTTTCCTCTTTGCTTGTTTACAGAGGGGAGAGGAGGCGGTTACCAGCAGAATAGGGGAGGCTACAATCGCGGTGGTTACAGAAATCAGAACTATCAGAACCATGGCAACCAGGGGAGCTATCAGAACCACGGGAACCATGGGAGCTATCAGAACCACGGCAACCATGGGAGCTATCAGAACCAGGGGAACCGTGGGAGCTATCAGAACCAGGGGAACCGTGGGAGCTATGGGAACCGTGGAAACCATGATAACCATGATAACCATGATAACCATGGGAATCGTGGGAGTTATGGGAACCATGGTGGTTATGGTAACCATGGAAGTTATCAAAACCACTCAAACTACTGAGCTGGAAACATTTAGATTTCAGTCTTGACCCCGAATTAATCTTCATTCCATAACGATAACAATAAATGCTTTCCTGAAACAGCTGAAAGTTAATACAGTACAAGTCTTTCCCACTGCTACTACATCGTGTGGATTTTCAGTACTTGGGATAAAGGTGAAGAGTTTTGAAGGTTGTTATTATTGCTAATAGAGAACTGCTTTATACAGGCATTGCAGTCAGGTGACAGACGCGTCAAGTATTGTTCACATATACTTATGAAATAAACAATTACCAAAATGAAATGTGTTTTGCATTCTCTTTTTCACAGTTTTTATAAATTCAATTCAACAACAAAAAAGCATAAAATACATTGAATGGGAGGATACATAAATTACTTTCACTTTTACTAACAGCCAGATGGGGTGTTAGGCCTTTGTGAATTTGCAAGTGTGAAGAAATCATGTGTATCCTCATGAAAGGGGTCTGTCTGTTCTATCAGTAGAAACCTCAGGAACTACATGCAGATCCTTGATGTCAGAGTTATATAAACAAAATGTGAAGAAGTATTTAATTTAAAACGATAAAAAAAGCTATTGGTGTTTGCAGTGAGAATTCCACTTTCGCCAGACATTAAACTCACATGTTATGGCTCTTATGCCTCAAAGCTGCTAATGCCCACTTTAAAGGCTTTCCAACAAAATGTAGTGTGAGGCATGTAATATCAGTAGTTATAAATTATATAAGTTTCTCCTTATACTCAGAAGTATTGTACTTTTTCCCTCTTGTGAACTCGAATGAGTGACTTCTCCAATGCAACAGGGTCAGAGTGTTCAGCGAAACATCAGTGAGACTCGGGCGAAGACTAACCACCAGACACCAGACTCACTTCTATGGGGGTTATTCCCTATCTTTATTCAAGAGCGTGGTATTTAAATTTGAGAGCATACTTTATGTATTTATTTCCCTCAAACCCTGTCCTCACACTCAAATAGTGCCTGCTTGCACTTAGATTTGCTCTGCTTGTGCTCAAACTGTACGCTTGCACTCAGATATATTGCTGTTTACAGATTTGTTCTGCTCTCAGATGTATTCTGTGCGCGCTCGAAACTTTTGTGCAACAATCCTGTCAAAATCCTTCAACCAATAGGAGGCCAGGTGTCCTTGCGGGTGCGTTCGCTTTACTTATTACAGCGTCCCGTAAGGGCGGTTAGTCTTTGGTTTATAAACTCCCGCCCTCCACGGCTTTATAACATAACCATGCCCGGCGCCGTGGGAGGGCCAGGCCCTCCCATTTGACATTCCTGCCCTCCCCCAATATACACGTTTTTGATTATTTATAACGTTTTTTTTTTTTTTAAGTTTTTATTTTCTTAATTATAAATAAACTGTGAACTTTTATGCTACGATGTATCTGATGTCAGATAGTAACTAAAACAAAAAATCGCAGGCTATGTCAAATAAATTCATGTGTCTGTTGTGATTTGTGATTCGCACATTTAGACCAATCACAGCGTCACACTCTGCTGCCTTCTGGATTTGTTTGTTTATTGTGCATTCTGTGTAGACTCCCATTTCTGTTTGAATTACAAAATGGACATCAGAAATTGGCTGAAAAGCAACCGCTCAAAGACCAACAGCCCCAGATGATCTTGGGGTTAATAAACCCAACCACGTGAAACTGGATCGTTATCCAGGGAGATTGTTTTCAGGAAAGAAGCGCACTTTTGCATGACCTTTTGCAACAGACCATGGCTTGAATATTCGTTAAAAGCAGACGCAGCCTTTTGTTTCCACTGTAGACAGTTTAAAGTAAATACATCTTCATCTGATGCGGCTTTTACTGTCAAAGGTTTTTGCGACTGGAAACACGCATTACAGACTGATAAAGGACTGCTAATGCATGCTGCATCAAAAGAACACATTTCATGTGAGAGTTTGTGGAGAGAGAGAGACAGATACGCGAGGAAACAAATAAGGAAATTAATACTTTGGTGCAGATCAGCTGGCACGGAACCGTTATTACGTGTCAGCTGTCGTTGATATTATAGCTTTTTTAGCCGTCAACCAACTCCCTCTCAGAGGTGACCACGGTTCACTCCACAGCATGTCCGAGTCAGGCAGTGGGCTCTTCCTATCGCTGTTTGAGTATACGCTGCAGTACAAAGATGCAGAGTTGGCCAAAATAATGTTCTAAATTAGCTCGGCTGAGCGAAAGGATGCACCTGCAGTGCATAGAAATAAACCATGCCCAAGGCGGGTTAAACAGTTCATCGTGTCCGTCTCTATTTCTCTCCGAGTGCAACGATGAGGAAGCTGCCATCCTTAACCAGTGTGCCTTGCTCGTGATTTACCAGTGTTTGTGCTGCCACGCACGCAATGTTTCAAAGTGGTTGCTATGTTGTCCTTTATTTGTGTATGTATTTGCGATAAGTGTGCGTACTTTACTTTACGCACTGCTGTTGGCCTTGCTGTTTGATATATATTGTGCCGCAGGCCCGCAGCACCTGACGGTTTTGTGTGCCCTCCCATGAAAATCATATGCCCTCCCTTCAGATTTGTTCTGGCGCCGGGTCTGAACATAACATGTACTTCACTTCGCTGTACAACTTTTTTTTGGGGGGGGTAAGCACAGTTAGTATATGTTTATAAAACGAACAAGTCAAATCAAGCAATCTGATGTTTCTTAACCGTGATATAATGAGCGTATATCCCGGGTATAATTGTAGTTACTTTTCACTAGTCAGTATCCCTCCGCGTCTGAGAGCCGTTACAACTGTTACATTACGTCCGTCACGAAACTAACTAACTAACAAAGCTTAAAATGGAAACATTTAAGGTTAACTTCGACCTCCGGGGTGGCCTTACTATGGAGGAGTGGATTGAGAAGTGCCTATCTCCAGAAAAAAAAAGCACCTAAACGACGACAATGCTGTCTGTCTAATATGTTCTCTAGCTGTTATTGTTGTTGCATAGCAACCACCTCGCACTATGTTTTGTGTAGAAGGCAACGGAGGGACTATTTTATATTGAACATCATTATTTAATAATAAAAACTATTTAAATTGGAGTGTGTATTTTTCTTTCACATTGCCAGCCACACGTGGTAACCGTTTTATAAATGCAATAGCTCACTTCAGGCCGTGATATACGAATATCTATACAATATGGGGTTGTCGACACTCCGCTTCGCGTCGGACCGAACCAAGCCGTAGCACAACAGTGCTGGAGCAGAACAACAGTCTGGAGGAAGAAGTGGGCCGGTCGGAAAATTCACTAGCAATCCCCTCTCCCCCCGTTGACAATTTACTAGCGATGACGAGGGCCGGTCGAGATTCCCGGGCTGATTTTTAGTCCCAGTACGCCACTGAACGTAGCTATTATGTAAGGTGCTGGTATATATATACTAACTGTGCTTCCCCCCCCCAAAAAAAAAGTTGTAAATCAAACAAGTGAAGTACATGCTATGTTATAAAGCCGTGGAGGGCTGGAGTTTATAAACCAAAGAGTAACCGCCCTTACGGGACGCTGTAATAAGTAAAGCGAACGCACCCGCAAGGACACCTGGCCTCCTATTGGTTGAAGGATTTTGACAGGATTGTTGCACAGAAGTTTCGAGCGCGCACAGAATAAATCTGAGAGCAGAAAAAATCTGTAAACAGCAATATATCAGAGTGCAAGCGTACATTTTGAGCACAAGCAGAGCAAATCTAAGTGCAAGCAGGCACTATTTGAGTGTGAGGACAGGGCTTGAGGGAAATAAATACATAAAGTATGCTCTCAAATTTAAATACCACGCTCTTGAATAAAGATAGGGAATAACCCCCATACACTTCCACCTCCATATTATCTTGTTAATAATGATGTGTTGCTCCACCACTATCAGTGTTTGTTTGGCAACATGTGAGTCTCACAGCACAAAAAATACATTTCAAATATGTCATTAACAGTTTACCTTTATTTCAGTGCTTTTACCATAAGTCTAGAGTTGTGTATCAGTGGCACGCAAAAATAAAGAAAAAGTATTCCTTACATTTACGCACTTTATTATAAAACACATCTCAAGTTTTTAATTTACAGCAGCATGTATTTGAGCATCTTTTCCATGGAACTTAAAACACTGTTGCCCCTATTGTTCTCAGTTGCCATGGAGGTATATTTCCGAATAGTATAGGCTACATACATTTTGATCAAAACAATTTTACCCATTTCAAATGTTGTGCTTCATTTGCATTCCCTTCATCAGCATACAATAGGTTGTAACTTTCATATAAGCTCTATTACATCTCTAACAACTCCAGATATATAAATGTATATTGTTGCTCCCTTGTTCTACATCATCTCCTGATGGGGAGCTCTTAATGTGGTTGTGTCCAGTGTGTCTCTCCTCTGTTTGCCATCCTTGCATGGGTCCTATGAGCGGCCCCCCCTCAGAGTCAGCCTCCTGAACAGCTCTTTCTTCAGAAGGTCCCTCTCTTTGCGGATTCCCTGCAACACGGTCTGATTCTCCTGAGCCCGACGCATCAGATAGGGCAGTGTGTCGTCCACCGAGCCGTAGGGCACTGACTTGTACACGGCATAACCCTCCTTAGCTGTCGGTAGAAGGACAAGAGAGTATGGAGTCAGAGCTTTGGTCCTACAACGAAAGTTTTCCAGGCCTACACCGCAGTGCTTGAATTGGGCCGGTACTCACCGGTACGCAGTACCGGGCCGGCACTTTTTACCCTTGTGGTACCGGTGTTATGCAGTAGATTGAAGACCTGTTCGCGGGGACGCGCAAACGTGACGTCATCGCCTGTATTGAGCGTTCGTCTAGTTTAATAAGCTTTTTTATCTCTTTTAAATTATATATTTCCCATCAGATTAAACAGCAAACGGCTGAATAAATAATGTGCATACAATTGCGAGGAGGCTCGTTTTAAGGACACTTTTCAGATAGTCACAATCTTCGTATTGGAACAAACTTCCGTTTTTGAGTGTAGTCCCACTCTGCTATGTTCCTCCTTCCTACAGAACAGACAATGACAGGATAATGTGATTTGTCAGTATAGTCCTATTTCTTAAAACCTTCTCTGTTGTTTAAGTGTCTGATAACCACGAATAGTAAGCAATGATATGACGGTAATGATATAACATATGTCAGACATTATTTTCAAGCAAGCCTAAAAGATAATGTGTTCAACATGGCTTCACTTGCTTTAATTGCTCCTTTGAATGTAATTTTCATCTGTGGTTTCCTACTCAACATATTTTTGTATTGTAATGCCACTCATATTTTATCTTGTATTGTATTTTAAGGTGACAT